AAATGTAAAGGCAAAGTATCAGGTTAGGGCATACAATGAAAACTTTACAATAATGCCCAAATCAATAATATACACCATAAATATTTACATTGTCATTGGACGTCTATAGAAATTGTGGATATTTTATGATCAGCCTGAAATACTCCCTTAACTTTAGATTCCTGATTGTGACCTCCATGACCTGCTAGTGCTCCCTCACTCAAAAATTTCATTGGAGATGGAGAATATTGGTCATGTCTAATAGTTGTCTCTATTCCAAGATCATCCTATCCTCTGTGAACTGTATATGGAAGACTGTTCTTTCCTAAGCACATTTCACATTTCTTCCTCACAGTATACTTTTATCCACTTGCCGTTTTCACTTTTCTGTAACCACCTAGGACACTGTGATAACACCGTAATTGTAAAATTTCTTGACATCTTTGTGATAACATGAAGGCACAGGGGCTCATGCAGTGTAACATTCTGTCTTTGAGAAGGTCATGTAGACAGACTTTCAACTATTTTTTATGGGTAAGATGTATGTAAATCTCTACCATGACATTTTACAAAAATTGGAGACCAAATTCAGATGTATGGAGAGAAATTAGAATATTTATCAGGCCTATTTATTCTGAACAATATTTTTTTCTAATATGCATGTCATAGCTCCTATTATTAATACTGAACATGGTAAAACACAACTCCTCTGTTTATAGGTTTTCCAAAGCGTTTTCTTTTGCTCCAGGAGTTCTACACCGGTTACATTGAAAAGAAGTATTACCTCTAATTTAAGGTAGGAATGGTATATGGGTTTTATACGACAGCGCACTCATGTGGCAAGACTTAGAAAGTACATAAATAGTGTATTACAGCATTCGTTGAATGTAATGTAATTTTTTCATTACAGAAGATAAAATAACACATAAAAGTTGTTGTAGATTAAATCAATACAATGATATGTTCTCCTGCATAATTCTTTTTATTACTATTCTTTAAGATACTTTGTTGCATACTTAGAAAAAATATCCTATTTCAAATGTTTTGGTGATACAAGAGTTCCCAATAAAGGATATTATTTCGCTTTGTTATATGTGGTCCCTTTCTTTACGAAATTTAATTTCTTGATATCTTCATTTTTTCATCACCACAGACTAAAAGTTCTGTTCTCTGCGACAGATCTGAGTATAGCTAAGATGTTATCACACCAAAATCTCTGACCATCACATTTTGTGGCTCCTCAGCTCCTAGTCTATGAATTGTTGGCAGAATTATGACTGCAAGTTCTCATATGCTCAAGGCAAGGCCAGATATATAGCAAGAAGTAACAACTTTTATTATGCAACCTGGTATCGGTGAAGAAAGTATAAATGAGCCTCCAGGCAAACAAGCCTTTCTTAAAAAATACAAAAATAGTGGAGTTGAAAGCTGGACACACATTGAAAGCAAGTGGACTTATTTATTTAAATATGCAGCATATGATCAAACCCTCCATGTCATCTCAGACCTGGCTCACAGGGGAGACCTACAAAACATTTTCAAAGGATGAGCACTGATCAAAAATTCTAACTTTTTGGAATTAAAAAAAAAAGTAAAAAACAGAAACTGGTTTGGTACTTCATTATACACTCTCTCCTCCTGAAAAAGCTGCATATTTCAGGGACCCATAAATTCTTTTTCTTTCGTTAAGAAGACAATCTTCTCAAAGAAATCATTACAGGCTTTGAGGCAGCTGGAGAGATGGTAACTAGTTAGCTGACAGAAGTCAAATCAGCTTTACTGTTGCCGTTTCTAGTCTTTGTGAAGTTGTATTTCAGGGAAAAAAATGCCCCTTGGAGCACACTTCCCACATTTTGGGCAATCACATGCAGTTGTAGATAGGTATAAGTGTCAGGGATCAGAGAGATACAGCAAGGCATGCAGGGCAGAGTGCTCTCTAAGAAGAGATGCAGTACCACTGTATCCATGCCAGAAGAACTTTTAATTCTCTCTTTCTGACAGTACACCTTTGGTCCAACTGAAATGGTTAGAAAGATTGCCCAGAATCTTGGTAAGTCTTCTTTTGTTCTGCCATTTCCCATGGCTAACAGGTTTCTTACAGTGTCTGGCTGCCAGCAGGTTCCACAGCGGTGAGGTTGCAAGCAAGGACATTTCAGTGGGGCTGTAATATAGGAGTAGGATATTCAGTCCTGAACGAAGAAATGCCCTATTTTGGAGACTACTGGACAGTTGACCTTTGTTAATCCAGTGGAGGACTGATCTCAAGAACTGTGAAGACTCATGCCTTTCATGTTTCTAGACCAAGAACTGAAGGAAAGAGGGAAGCCACTGGTAGAAAGCCCTGTTGGAAGAGGCCTAAGAGGCTGTTCAGATTAATTTTTCTGAGTGACCCAAAAGTACCAAAAAGTGAGAGTTGCAGGCCAAGCATCCAAAAGGCACAAAAGTTCTAAAGGAGCTGCCATCTTAATCTAGTTTTATTTAATTTATTCTAGAAATTCCTACTGTAACTTGAATGGCTTCTTTTCCATTATCTTCAATTATGCTTTTTCTATAGTTCATTTAATCTCCCCACATCTTGCAAGACTCCCTCCACCACTTCTGTCCCTCTGGTGATGACTCTTCAACTTCATCTTGGAGTGGGACTTAGACAAGATGAACATTAAAGAAAACAGTTTTATTAAAGTTATTAAAGAAAACACAACAAAGCATTCCCTGTTTTGCACCAGAACATGCTGGTCCTTATTGTCCCAGTACAAGAAAGGAATTCAGTTTCTGTCTGCAAAGTATAATTTCAAATGCAATTTATTAGAGTTAACACCGTAAGGAAATAGAGAATTGTTATCCTACAGCATTTCAGACTTCATAATGATGTGTAATGCTGCATCAAATGGTTCTCTAACAAGGGTACATCACAAAGACTCTGTCTGTGGACCCCACTGTGGTCATTCGAGCTATTAGACGATTTTCTTAAAATAAAACAACTTTATTATTTCTACTGTCAAACAGAAAGGATGTTTGCATAAGGACTTCTTGCTGCACTTTTAGATAGAAGCAAAGTCACGGAGGTGCCAGTACAACGTGGGAGCTGCTCATGGCTCCTTTAGCCCTGTGCTGGCTGAATTTTTCCTGTGACCATGGGATATGCCCAGCACAACATAGGCCTGAAGGTCACATGGCTGCACTTGGGTTAACTATTGCATGGACACTACAGTCTCAAAGCACTGTGGCCCTTCCAAGACCACTAATGTGGAGGCACACTGCAGCCTGTCGTCCAGCACCACACCCTGTGTGCACACTGTGGCATCTGACCTCATTTCTCTGGAGTCTACAATTCAAGAGAAGGCTTTGGAGAATAAAAACGGGCACCTGTAACATCACCGAGTGATCAGGAGAGATGTCAGGACTTTGGGGATCAACTTCTGAGCATAGGCTGTTACCTGGGCTTTGTAGATTGGTGTTGGAAAATGGGGTTAGAGGGGGTCCAAAAGGCACAGCCTCTGTCCAATAGGCACAGCCTCCAGGGAAAGCACTGTGGCTGGAGTACCATACTTGTCCCTCTGCTCAGGCCCTTTCTGCAAAATCTGCTTGACAGAAGCATTTATGAAAGCTGTCTCTGACCTAACAGGGATTTAAGGGACAGAGACTTCCTGGTGTCCTTAGACTGAGAAAGCACAGTAACAACAGGGGAGCGGTTCTTGATTTCTTTATGTTCCAAATTCTGATTTACTCCCATCAAAAGAAATCCACTATGAGCATGGTCTCTGGTGTGATCTCTGCAGAGCATTACCTTGCAGAATTTTTGTATAAATATCTAAAGGGAGGGTGCCAAGAGGACAGAGCCAGGCTCTTCTTGGTAGTATCAAGCAATAGGACAGGAGGCAATGGGCAGAAACTGATGCACAGGAAGTTTCACTTGAACTTGAGGAAGAACTTCTTTACTGTGTGGGTGAGTGTGCACTGGAACAGATTGCTCAGAGAGGTTGTGGAGTCTCCCTCACTGGAGATACTCCAGAACCCTCTGAACACAATCCCAGGCAATATGGTCTGGGATGACACTGGTTGAGCAGGGAGGTTGGACCAGATGTGGTCTCTTCCAACCTGAACCATTCTGTGAGAAAGGAGAAGAATGCCCCTAAGAAGTAGAGGTTTGATCAAGGAAAACTTCGGGTTTTTTCCTGCCCCCTTACATTAATTCCCTCTCTCTCTCAGCAGGGTGTCCTCAGCTTTTTGTACAGTAATGGATGTGGAAGAGCAAAAAACTGAAATCGCACACACGTAACTGTCTCCCAGCTGCTTTGTACCAGTACTGTGGAGACTGCTGCTACTGTGGAGTTCCCCGACGCCGGGGCAATGTCCCTTGGGATGTCGTGTAGGGGTGAGTGGGACGGGGGGCGGTTGAGAGCAAACCTGGAAGGACTGTAAGTGCCCGCCAAAACAGGTCAGCGCCGTGCGGAGCAGCCTCCCCTCACAGGCACCAACTCCTAAGGCAAGTCAGGCAGGACCGAGCGTAGAACCGAGCGCTTTTGCGAGCTGCTGCCTCTTTTGTGAGCTGCCGTCTCGCTTCCACGACTGAACGCCAGTGAGGGAATACCTCTGGCATTTGGTAACAAATCCGCTATCTGGGTGTCTTGAGATGAGATCTCTCTCCCAGAGTAGGGCAGCAGAGGTCTGCCAGACGACGGCACACAGCCCCGCCAGAGGACACGGGCATAAGAGTCCCCGCCCACCGCCCCGCTCTGAGCGATCGCTCCTCCCCCGCCGGCGCGCGCACCAACGGCCGCCCGCGCGCCCCCACGGCCGAGCCCGGCGCCCTCTGATGACGCCACGTCTCGCCCGGCGTCCGACAGAACTTGCCCAGAGCCGAAGCCGCAGCCGGCCGCGCGCATGCGCGCTGGGGTGAGCGGCGCCGCGTCCCTTCCCGTGCCCGCCCGGGGGGCCGCGCCCCCTCCCCTCCTGCCCTCGCGCCCCCCTCGCGCCGCCCGTTGCCCGCCGGAGGCCGTGCGGGGCCGGCACGCGCCGCCCGCCCCTCGGGAGCGACGGGAGGGCCCGGCCCGGCGGGAAGTGCGCGCGCCGGAGCCGGGATGCGCCGGTGCCACCGCCGGCGGCGGCGGAGGCAGGAAGGGGGCGGGCCCTGAGGGCGAGGGCGCGGTCCCCAGGCGGGCGGGGCCGTGAGCAGACCCGGGCGGTGCTTCCCCCGCGGCGGGCGCGTCCCGCCCCCCGGTGCGGGGGCAGGGCTGGGGTCGTGCCAGGGCAGCGAGGCGGGGGCTGAGCGGGGTCTGTGTCCACAGGTGAGCCCAGTGCGGATGCGGCGGCCGGGCGAGGGGCAGCGCCGCGGTGCCCGGGCGGTGCCGAGGAGCCGGCCCGGGGCGGGAGACATGGACTCCGGCGGGGATCTCCCGGCGGATCGGCCCGCCGCCCTTCGGAGCGGGATGGAGGAGCCCGACAAGGAGGGAGATGGTGCCGGAGGGAAGACCGCCTGGCAGCAGAGCCTGAGTCCCGAGCTGCAGCAGGGATACCGAATCCTGCGCGAGTTCCTTCTAGAGAAGTACCGGCCTCTGACGGCGCCGTTCCTGGAGCCCCTCGCGGATCAGGCATCCTTCGGAGAAGAAGGCGCCGGCTCCCCCTCGGGCCATAAGAGCGGCCAGTCCCTCCAGCAGTTGCCAGCTGGAATATGGCTGTTGAAGATGGAAGAGAAATTTTCCAGTGGGCAGTACACAGGGATAGCAGATTTCGTGTGTGACTTCCGGCTTATGCTGGAGACTTGCTACCGGCTGCACGGTGTGGATCACTGGCTCTCCAAACAGGCCCAGAAGCTGGAGATGATGCTGGAACAGAAGTTGGCGCTGCTGTCCCGGTAGGTGTAGAAAAGTCTGTAGATTCCCTGCCGCATGTTGTTTACATAAAGTAGAACAGGGAGGTGTGTTTCTTTGTGTGAAAAAAATCCATTAAAAGAGAACAAACACCGATCCAAACCAAACAAAGCCCCACAACAGAACACTGGAACTCTCAATAATTTCATGTGAGGAACGTTTCCTACTGTGAGCTATTCAAATCTTAATTCAAAACTCTTTGGAAATTCCAAACCTGAATATTCCAAAAATAATTCCAAACCAAAATGCCAAACAGAGCACAGCATTTCCTGGCTAAGATTTTCCTCCTGAAAGAAGCTTTTTGTGAACGTAGAGACGCACTTGTTTACACAAGATGTCAAATGCTTCTTTATTTTACTCTGTCATGAAGCTGCCTAAACTCTGTATGAATATCTGGCTCTTTAGAATTGTTTTTTTTAACAATCTGTGAATTTTTTACTGTCTTTAAAATAAGTAGGAGTTAAATCTTGAACCAAAGTTACCTGCTTTGAAATGGCATATTTTTTGATACTCATAAAATGAGAGACAGTACTTGGCATACTGTGGTCTTAAATGGCAAAATGGAAACCGTGATAAGTTTAAATATGAGTCCCCAGCAGGAACTTGTTTATCAGCCAAAGCAGATGAAACGTAGAAAGCTATTGAGCTATATGGTAGAAAGGCCAGTTTAAATCACGACTGAAGCAAATGCTTTCTCATGAATTTGTCATAGGCACAGTTCAGTCATTGTCCGGAACTCATAGTGGCTTCTTACAATGAAAGGCCCACCAGTCTCCTGAATGGCATAGTGTTTTGCATGTAAAAACCAAAAGTTTTTTTTGGCTAAAGGTGAAGGTGAAAAAGGAACAGTATTGGGAAGTTTGTAAAGGTGTGCATGTCCATCAGCTTTAAGCTTGTTAGGGACACAGAGCGTGACCTGCCAGCTGGTAAGAAGAACCTTGCTTGTGTAGTAGGAACACTTGAGGAGTGTGGTGCAGAACTCAACTGAAACTGGAATGAACGTGTGCATTCTGATGTAGCAACAGTATATTTGAAACTGTTTTAGTATAACAGCAGTTTTGAGGCAGTTTGTGAGAAGGGAAGGAGCCAAACCTAATGGGACATGCGTGTTGTTAGTTTGCTTGAGTAAAACTTGGTTTAAAAAAAAGTCTGAATTCCTGGCTTAGTAGAGTTACTGCTGGCAAATAAATAACCAAATGCAGCTTGGAAAATCTGTGCTGTGTTCATTTCTGTATGTTGTGTGACTGTAGCATTTCTACTATATTGAATTGATGGGCATTTTGTTGAAGGCTCTTGGTTGAATTAAGTGGCTACTCATTTCATTCGGTAGGACCTGAGAATGCACAATGCTGTTTTATAAGAAATTATGCAAGAAAGTGAAGTCAGTTTATGCACTGTGTCATCTAAATAGCCATATATGTGTTTACTAAAAAAAAAATAAATTGCCCTTGTAATTATTTCAGAAATTCACAGTCATTTTCAAATAAATATTAGCAAATACTTAACTAAAAATAATCTTGCCTCATTATATAGTGAATTTCTCTTGTATTAGCTCTTTGGAGATTTGTAAAGATGTACTCAATATGTCTGTGTGCGCTAGCTTAGTAAAAGTTTCTAAGAACTATATATAGAAAGGATTATGGAATCTAGAAGTCTCAAAGTTCTTTTATAATTTTTGATCAGACAAATTTGTTTTAAGTGTTTACCAGACCTAATTTTATGAGTAAAATGCAATTGAAGAACTACTTCCTGGAATAATTATTCTTGCATCATTACAGAGCAATGTTTAGCTTAATGAGCCCCTTCAAGTGGTTCAATGTTAGTTGTATAATTCTCAGATTGTACAAGCTACAGAAAATTACCTTAGAATGGAGATTGCTTTTGAATGGAGATTGGATTTTTCCCCTCTGTTCCCTCAAATGTTTTCAGAGTTTGTGAAAAACTCTGCCATTTTTAATGGAGTATTTTGAAACAATGTAGGATGAAATGAAGCTTTGCAGCCAAATTTGTATTGTTTTGCCTTTCACCTTTTGTAGTTTTAAACAGCACTAAACTGGTGTTTAACACAGACTTCTCCAGCCTAAACCAACATATACACCTTTTTTTGCCCCCCCAAATATTTATGGATTAATATAGAGAATTCAATCTCCAAATAATATTTGGTTACTTGAGGTAAATATCCACCATTTTTAACTGATGTGAAAACTTAGGGCATTTTAGCATGTTGGGTTTGAAATTTCATGAAGGAACTCCTAAAGTGGAAAAAATGGCAGATGAAAAGATAACTGCTTTTGTCTGAGTAAATATGCTTGATCCATGGTTGGTAGGGTAGGCATTGAAGTACCACTGGTAAGGACAGTCATAGTTGTGAATTGGCTTGCTTTTTTCTTCTAGGCATTTAAGAGAGAAAACATCATTAGCTGTCACATCTAGAGGATGCTATGGGCAGGAAGATGAGAAAGGAACAGCATGCATTTCCACAAGACGTCGTTCCACACCTCGCAGTTTAGTAGGCTTGTCAACAGGCATGTTTGAGTCTGTGATGGTTCAGGTTCTAAGACAAGAGGAGCAGCTGAGAGCAAAAGAGGAAAAGAGGTAATAGGAAAAACCATTTTGTTTTAGTTTTAAATAATTATGTCTTCCTAGTTCTCTACAGGGGCTAGCTCCTTATGGCTTTTATAGGTAAATAAAAATTATGGAACTCTTGTGCTCTTAAGTTCATGACTTCAGTACAGTACATCTGCAAAGCAAAATGTTAGTACTACCTTCTGGAAAAATTGCTGAAGTCGTAGAATTCACCACATAATGATGAAGTCATTACGTTAAATTATAGCTGCTTTTATTTTAGGATTGTGAAACTTTTAAGACTAATTAAAAACATCCACAGCAATTTCCTGTTAGCTCATTCACAGGTTATCACCCGTGTCCTTGGACTGTTTTTCATGCAACAATTAGATTAAAAACTACCAGAATGCTTAACTACATCTAATTCCATGATCTTGTCATTGCTTCCCTCATTGATAGCCAGAAGCAAATTATCTCTGCCAGTGCCACTGCTGTTACCTCACTGATGTGGCATTTCAGCTTGTCAGTTAGGTACCACTTTCGGAATGTGTGCGTAATTAAAATCTGTCAGATTTTGAGATGTATAATTCCAGGCGGTGCTTAATGTTAATATGTTTCACTTTGAGGAAAAAGAAGCTTGTGAATTTGTATATTTTAATAGTAACTTGAGTGACTGTGTCTGAAGGTGGAGCATGATGGTAAGACAGTATTTGCTTTAGGAAGCAAAATGTTTCCAGCTTTTTTCAAAGCTTTGGAGGCTTCTTCCCATATGTAATCAATTCACTCTAATTTTGCAGGTAATCTTAATTTTCAACAGATTTTGAAGCTATTTGGCTGACTTTACTGTTAGACAGTACTTTTTTCCTAGAAAGGAGTGAATCTTTTTTCTAATCCGCTCATCTTCTAATCACACTTCACAAAAAAAAAAAGAAAAGCGAAGATCACCAGCGTTATTGTTTCTCTGGTAAAAGTCTCTTGATTTTTGCTCAACTCTTTGTTCTAGAACTCAGAACTTGATAAAACTGTTACGAAAAAGAAACCATTTTGGTTGTATTTTAATTCACCCATAGACTCCGTAGAATATTTTACCAGACAGAGTAAAAATTTGGCTTTCGTACACCTGTTTTAAGCTCATTCCTGCAGCACTGTAGTAATTAACAGTTAAATTCATGTGTCTGGATGTACTCAAAAGTCCCAGATCCTGTGCAAAGGATACTCCACAGTGCTTGGTTCTACAGAACATTCTGTGATAACAGAAGAAGATCACAGCAAGCTTGTCCCTTTACACCCTGAAATGTTGAACTGTACCATTTACTATGAAGCGATAAAAATCTATCACTAAGTAGCTGGTCGAATATTTCTTTGACTCTATTGAGCTGCTCAAATAATTGTGCTTCAGATATCTTCTTAAGTTATATTTCCTTGTGGATCCCACCATGTTTTCAAAGTAATTTGGACCTCTCTATATCAATTGCTTCCCAAGTCACAAAAAAATGTTCCAAAAGTACCTTTTAGTAGTATTTTATGAAAAAGACTTGGAAATTGGAAGACCTATAAAATTAGTAATATATTACTAGTGAAGATCGCATGATAACAGTGTACATAAATTTTCAAAGTTTTGTATATATGAATGCACAGACTTTCAACACTAAGATGGGACACTATTTTTGTTCAAAAATATATTTCAACTTTCTAAACTTATTTTGGCTTATTACTAAAGTATAGATTATGTTGTTAAGAAGAGAAAATGGTTATTCTGCTTTTTTTTTTTTTTTTTTTTTTAGAAATCTGATACACTGAGGAATACTTTCAAAATTAAATGCAAGATTGCAGGCTTGGATATTTCAGTTGGCAAGCACTGTGCTGGCCATTGGGATAGGCAGCATCTGCTGTTCACCCCACTTTCAGATGAGTTGTCAGGAACATAAAAAAAATGCTCCCTTTCTGCCATCCAGTGGACCCCTCAGCATGCATGTACTTTCTAGCCAGTAATTATCTTAGTTTAGAATGCCTAGGAATTACATGCTTTCAGTCCCAAATAACTAAGGCTATAAATGCAAGGGCCTGTCTACAAAACTTATCTTCATACCTAAAGAAATTGCCTGTTGAAGTATGATTTTATATCTAATTCTTTGCTCTAGATATTTAGATACTCTTGTAAGGCACGGACATCTTATGGTGAGTATTAAATAAAACTAAAATTAAATTAAAAATACTAAAATATACAAATAGATCTAATAATGTATATTATATATAAAAATAAAAATAAATCCTTTAAAAACTTTTGGGTTTGTTTTCCCCCCAAAATCCTTGACATTGATTTTGCAAGCTTTTTTCCAACTGCATATTTTGGAAGAACATCCTAAAGTGTGATTTTTATCTTCTTTTCTGTAGTTAGCTTCATGGAAATCCTCCTACAAATTCTACCTATGTTTTCGTTATATGGGTATCCTTCATCGAGGGTTCTCTTTCTCTTGCAATTTATCCATTTCTTGCACAATCAGTTTCATTTTTTCTTTATTCAGTGTTTTACAACTTCCCCCAAGTGACACATTCATCATGGTACACTCAACATGTGAAACTGAGATGTCATTGCAAAGCAGATTTCATTATTTTGCAGATAATAATTTCTGTACAGTGGCAAAAGCACTTTTTCCCAAGCTTTCCTTTTGTTCAAGTGTTCTAATTATCAGAATATTGATCATCTTCTTTGGATTATTAATTACGTTTCTATGAGTTTCTACTCAGCTGTTTGGTTACATGCTAATACACATATACATAGCAATATACATACTAATTTACATTTCAGTTAACAATAAATAATTGTGGGATTTTTTTTTTTAATTGGAAATGCTTACCTATTTAGGTACTGAAACATAGAGGTAGATTCCTACTGAAATTTTTAAACCGCTGGTGAATGACAGCTAATTAACTGATTTCAGTGTGAATTAAGTGTCTCTATAACTTTGGTTTGTTGAAAGTTATGCTAGGCAGAACTTCACCTTCTCTGAAAACATGATCCTGGGATAAGTTTCAGATTTGTTCATCAGAACAAAGAGTTCAATTCTGGTTGCAAGTTAGTAATTTAGTTTAGCAAATTTTGGAATTGGATATGTTTATACAGTCAGTTTTGATTTTTATGAGGATGTTAGCATGGAATTAACCTATGTCCTAGAGAAAAATGTAGAGTATGTTATAATATGATGTAAGCCAGTACAGATACAGAATTAAGGTTACATGGGCATATTCCAATTTAATACCTTCTGAGTGTTACACCTTGACTTAATTTAGAATAAGGTGTAATATTGCTAATTTGTACATAACTTTTGATTTCATTTTTTAAAAGAAAGTTTGTAGAAACAAGTTATGGTAGAATTAAAATAGTTCTCTGTATCTTGTCATTAGAGTTCCAGTCTCTGACCTTTTACCTAAATCAACACCTACGTGGATTAGAAGTGGTAATTGAAGGAACAAAGTAAAATCTAATCATTGTCTCCTCTCCCCTCCAAGTGAAATCTCTTGTTGCAAGTGAGAAGGAGTTTACTGGTGCTATCTGTCTGCTGTCTCAAAGGAGAAAATAATAAGAAAAGTGGGAGTTACATCTGGACTCTGTTTTAGGTGTTATCTCTACTTGGGGATCATGATTGCTGAGCTTTAACGTGAAATGCCATGGCTTTATCCACTTAAGAGCTGCAAAACAAGTGCTGTGCATGTGTTGTGGGAATATGACCTCAGTCTGGAAGTGTCAGCTTTACCTTAGATTAGTTTTGTTATGACTGTAAGCACAATACATGTCTGCAAACATATTTATGGTAAATGTGAATAAAAGTATGAAATAAAAGCCAAATGTATGTAGGTCCAGAGAATTTCTCAGTCCAACAGCAAATGTCTCTCTCTTACCACCTCCCATTTCTTCCTCCATCTCCACTCCCTTGCCCTACACCCTCTCCCCTCTTCATTCCCTTGTATCCTCTCAAAAAAAAAAACAAAACAAAAAACAAACCCAAAAAAACCACTGCAGGAAAAAGCTATGCCCTCCAAAAGATTCTAACAGGAAGACCTTGATCATCATCCTCATCTCTATGTAACCTTTGTTGATCTCACTAAGGCTTTCAATACGGTGAACAGAAAAGGTCTGTGGCAGATTTTGGAACATTTAGGATGTCCCCCCCAAGTTCCTTAAAATGATCAATTCACTTCATGAGGATCAGAACAGCCAAGTCAGATATGGCAATGCACTTTCTGAGCCCTTCCGAATAACTAATGGTGTGAAACAAGGCTGCGTTCTTGCACCAACCCTTTTCACAGTCTTTTTCAGCATGATGCTCCAAAGGGCCACGGCAGACCTCGATGATCAGGACGGTATCTACATTTGATACCGTACTGATGGAAGTCTTTTCAACCTAAGGCGACTGAAGACCCTCACCAAGACCTTAAACCATCTTGTCCAGGAGCTGCTTTATGCTGGTGACACCGCCCTCGTTGCCCACACAGAAGTGACTCTGCAGCGTTTAACGTCCTGCTTTGCTGAGGCTGCTGAGCATTTTGGGCTGGAAGTCAGCTTAAAAGAAGACAGAAGTTCTCTATCAACCTGCACCTCAGGAAGTCTTCCATCATCCCCACATCACCACTGGCCAATCAGAGCTCAAATCAGTCCAGCAGTTTAATTACCTAGGTAGCTGCATCTCCTCGATGATGAGATTGACGGAGAGATAGACAACAGGTTAGCAAAGGCATATAGAGCTTTAGGAAAGCTTCATAAAAGAGTCTGGTGAAATAAACACCTGAAGAAAAGTACAAAGATCAGTGTTTACAAAGCCATAGTGTTGTCTACTCTCTTATATGGTTCCGAGTCATGGGTCATTTACCGCCACCACTTGCGACTCTTAGAACACTTCCATCAACGCTGTCTCCGTACAATCCTAAACATTCACTGGTCAGATTATGTGACTAACACATCTGTTCTAGAACAAGCACCAGTCACAAGTATTGAGGCCATGTTGATGAGAACACAGCTGCATTGGGCAGGGCACGTCTCCAGAATGAAGGACCACCGCCTCCCTAAGATCTTGCTTTATGGTGAACTTGCCACTGGCTGCCACGAGAGGAGCCCCAAAGAGAAGATACAAGGACTCCCTGAAACAACATCTCAGCCTTGGCCATATTGATCTTCATCACTGGTCTACTCTGGCCTCCAATCAGGAGGCCTGGAGACACACCATCTATAACGCTGTTGATGCTTTTGAGAATGCACACAGGATCACTCTCAAGGAGAAAAGACAACACAGAAAGAATCGTGCCTTGCAGAATATACCACCTAAGGAGTCTTTCTGCTGTGCCTTTTGCAGCTGGACATGCCTATCTTGTATTGGCCTTTTTAGCCACCAGCACGCTTTTAACAAACGTGAGTAGAGCCCTCCCCAAATGTTCGTTCGCAAAGCCCAGCCATGATGATGACTACCCCCCATTTCTTCCTCCATCCCTGCTCCCTTGCCCCATCCCCTCTCCCCTCTTCATTCCCTTCTATCCTCCTAAAAAAAAAACGCCCAAAAAAAACACTGCAGGAAAAAGCTATGCCTTCCAAAAGATTCTAGCAGGAAGACCTCAATAATGAAGACATGGAAGTGTGCTTTTATATACATTTTGTCTTGAATGTCTGCTGAGAACGGAATGATAACAGATATTGTGATGAAACAACAGTTTAAAAAACAAAGACAAACTTTTTGCAAGTGAAACAACTTATATTTTTCTTTTTAAGGAACCTTCTAAAGCATTCTTAAAATAGTATAATAATTGTCATTTTATCTAGACTGAAGTGAATCTACGGTATTGTGTTTGAGAATTCTATCTTGATTTAAATTATGAATTGATGATAAATCGAAACTGCTTGTATTTTTCTCAACGATACTGAAATGTTATTGTTTCTACATATGTTCTATCTCACTATATGTTCATATTTAATCTTATTTCCATACCATGTTAATAGTGTTCACACCTTTTTGGAGGCAGCAGGTTATTAGGAGGTGTGTTTTACATTTAGGAGGAAGGAGGGAGTGGGATCCAAGAGTGCTTTGAAACTGATGTTTGAGACTATTTTTTACTTAGTATCGTTTCTTCCTCTGTCTCACATGTAAATTAGTTATTTTTATTTATTATTTTCTGTTCTTTATTATATCAATGCAATATTAGCACGTTGAAATAGAACATAAGTCATATTAAAAATAATGGTCACTTTACCTATGCAAGTAGTATTGTTGAATTTATTGGTTTGTTCACATGGAACGGCAAATGGGATTTTGTGCTGCACAGTAGGATTTTGTTTTTATATCCCATCCTTTACATCATTAAATTAATGCTGCATTGGGAGACTGAAGTTAAGAATTTACTGATCTGTTTGCTTTTACATTTTATGCTTTACATGAATCTGTCACAAGAATGTGTGTATGTGGTATTAAAAAGTTCTGTTCAAATTATAGTAATAATTCACTAGAAGTTTAATTTAATTGTATAAGATAAAGCATTCAGTAGAATCTTACTGTATTTTATGCTATTTTGCATATATATGGTATGTTTCTCCAGTGCTGACTAAAATGTGAACTAAGTTGGGTTGGTCACATTTTTTACGTTGTTGAGATAGCTAGTCAGTAGTTAATGCTTCAAATACACACTCTTCAAGCTAGAAGCCACTATTAGCTTCAGGTTGTTAGAAGAAAGATTTTAATTTATTATTACTCTTTTGCTGAATTTGAAGCCATTGATGCTTTGAATGGCTACACGCCATTTATTCGCTACTTGTGTATGAAAAAAATATAATTGGAGGTTAGCAATCTGGAAATAAGAACATGGAAATTCCGCAGGTCATATTAGTGTTGTAGGCAGGTCATTGTTTCTACTAGTGATAGGAGATTTAGGGAAAAACATATGAGAAGCTTAGGATGAGCTCTAAAAAAAATTTCCTGTAAGTACAGCTGTATCCTAATGCTATCTTTTGGAATCTGGTCATGCCTTCAGGCAAAAATGTTAGTTTACTATTGGAGCATTAGAGAAAAATCCCTTCTGTTGCTGGCAACCTTTGATATTCTTGTGATTCATGCAGGTGTCCAATTTTCCTCTTTGGAACTGAATTAACATATCCTATATTTTAGTAAGTTAGATGGTAAGCTAGGTGTGGTTTGATTATCTGAAATGGAAGCATTTTTTCTAACACTTGTTGCCCTTAAATTGCATGATGAATTTCCAAATAAAAGTAAATAGAAGTTCTCAGTCTGTCATATTGCTGTCATGCTTCCTCTTGTTGGTGTTTTGTGTGGAGCCCCAGATTATTCAGAACTTTTTTACAGGCCTTTGATTACTGATAACCTCTTTCTCTGAATACACATTATTTCTGCTCTATCCTTTTTTTAGATAGGGGGACCAGAACTGAATACATTTTTTCAGGTGAGGGCAAACCATTCATTAATGTAATGACATTTTATTTCTGGTGTTATTTTCCATCACATTCTTTGTGCATCCCAATACTTGTTTCCTTTTTAACCACTATTGCAAACCAGCACACCTATGACTGGGAGGGAAAATGTGTGTAAATAAAGCACTTAGCACTTAGACGTGCACACTTGTGTGCTGAGGAAGGGAAGTACAAGGAGGGTGAAGCAAGCCACAGGGCAACCATTTGACAGCAAGATTTACCTGGAATTTGTTTCAGAGATTTTGGTATGGATAATCTGATGAATACTTAATCCTGACAAAAAGAGACTGGGGAAGGAAATACATTTTAAAACCTCCAAAAACCTAAACCACTCAGACTATTGATATATGCCAGGCTTTTTTCTTACCTTTTTCCATTTTTAAACTAGTGGTGATAGATTATAAAAGACTGTAATTTCCCATTTTGGTCCAGTGATGCATTGTGTACTGCAAAATAAGAGAAACTAAACTAAAACTTTATGTGCTGTGCTCTTCATTACTTCAAGATAAGTATGTTTGTCATGCTGTAGCTCTGATTTTTGTCTCCCTCATTTTTTTTGTTCCCCCAGTGTCTGAATTTTCATGAACTTTCTTTTAATAGGCAGAGAGATCAAGAAAGAAAAGAAGCAGAAGAAGCTAGTCAGAAAGAAATAGAAGAATGGGAAAAATCACTTTTAGCTCAAGCAGCACCTACAAGGATGGAGACGATGTGGGAGATTCCAGCTATTGGTCATTTTCTTTGTTTGGCACAACAGATTTTAAATTTACCTGAAATAGTATTCTATGAATTGGAACGCTGTCTTCTGATGCCTCAGTGTAATGTTTTTTTATCTAAAATAATGACTTCTTTGTTAAGTCCTCCTCATCGCAGATCTACATTACACCGCAGGCCAACATTTTCTTACAGGACTTGGGAAGCAGCACTGAGAAAGAAAGTACAACACTGGTATACTGTTGTAGGGCAAACCGACAATCCTAATGGCGCTGCAGAAAAACTTGGCTTATGTCCCCAGTTTTTCAAAGTGCTCGGGGAAGTTAATCCCTTGGAGGAAAAACCATTTCATGAGCTACCATTCTACCAAAAAGTGTGGCTGCTAAAAGGTCTCTGTGACTTTGTGTATGAAACACAAAAGGATGTTCAGGATGCAGTGCTAGGTCAGCCTATCCATGAATGCAGAGAAGTAATTCTTGGTTATGACTGCTTGGAGAATGCGTATGTTCATTTTCCACAGTTCTGTGGTGCAGATGTTCGGATTTACAAACAAAAACCTTTTCAGGCTCCTGAATTTCCATCTCTTCCCATCAAAGTTAAAAAAGTACCACGTGTTAAATCGGAAAGAGTAAAACATGAATATGTAGCCAAAAGCAATGGGGAGGTCAGTTCTGCTGGTAGAGAACTGCTACATCCTTCCAAGACAGAAGTAGAGAAAAGTGTGGACTCTCTTGTTGTCTGTCCAGAAAAAACCCTACATTTAGGCACCTTTAGAATCCCTACCGGGGAGATAAACTGTGAAATCAAAGACTCAAGAGTCTGTGACATCAAGAAAACTGTTTGTTATAAAGAGAACTTGAGGAATTTGATTACTTCAGGAGAGATTGTTGGTGTGGGTGGTGACTCTAGTTCAAGAGAAATAACAGATGGGGAGAATGGACAAGGTTATCCTGAAATGGCCAGACTAAGGTCTGATATGAGTCCCTTCAAGGAGAACACGCTGAAAGCTTGCCAGGTGCATGTCAATGGCACTTACAATGATTACCAAGACACCAGTTACCATGAATCTGCTAAAGAAACAGTGCTAGAGAACTCATTGCGAAATAATAAGAAACTAAATAAGATACTAGCAAAAAAGAAGAAAAAGAAAAAAAAGAAGTTGAAGGATATTCTAAATGAAAATCTACAGAGAAAACTTGATGACCTGCAAAGAAAACGTGAGATTCATCTTCATCCATTCAAATCTTATAAATCTGAGCTCCAGAACAAGTTGTTTATAATTAAAAAGAAAGCAAAACACAAGAAGCACAAATCTGGTAAGTTGACAGTTTTTACCTGTAGTAAAACTTAGGAGGATACTGATTTCTAAGTTGTGTTTTTAGCTAATACGTCTATATTTTATTTTGTGAAACAGGACAGCCTTATTGCATTAGACATTCTGGCTGTTAATTTTAAAGTGAAAGTTTCCCACATAAAGTATGTAAAACAGGCTCATCAGCTGATTAAACCATGATTCATTTGCAGAATTTAGAGAACATAATACATTTGGAGAGGTTGTTTGTTGCAAAAAATATTTAGAAGAATGAATGTTACTGACTGGTTAGCATCAGAGAGCATCACTTGAAGTCATTTTGTGGTGTCTTATGTTAGAGCAGTTGTGGAAATGTTTCTCCCCTTTCTGGTAATATTACCTTATCCAAATTATGAAGAAACACAGAGTAATTATATGAGATCATGAATCTAAAGTCATTCATACCGGAACTGTGCTGTCTTAGGTCACCAAACAGTCCAGCAACTGGGATACAGAGTTTATGCTGATGGCATTCTTTTTACAGATTTGGGCAGAATCTAGCTAAGTGTTTCAGGTAGGTGATATAGAATCCAGATTTCAGTTAACTCACTGGAAAATTTTAAAGCTATTTGAAAACAGTAAAGTTTTCAAAGTTTGTAAGTCAATTCAAATTGTCAGGTAGCTGTAGTATTTTTGATGTCATACGAAACACCATAAAAGCTTCATTCTGTTGAGTCCTGGGCTAAGCTATCTGTGCTAGATTTTAGCAGACTGCTTCAAAAATTATATTTTTCAAAGTGACAAGCTACTTTTCAGAACAGTGTAAACTGACAGATAAGTACTGGATTTCATCTGAAATGTGGAAAGCCAAAATGAAAAATCTGAATAACAGCAAAATGTCTTCTAAAGGGCAAGAAAATTCCAAGATTTGATGTCAGTGCGTTTTACTAGAAGTTCAAATTTAAAGCTAAGGAAACAAGTAATATTTAGATCCCAAATATTTGTGCATAATATCCAACAAACTGTCTTACCATTTAAGTCACAAATTCCTCCTTCCAAAAAATTTCAATGCCCACATCTCAACAGAAATTTTAAAAGTTGCAGCTGAAGTTCATATATGTCGTATACAGCAAAACTAATGTATTTTACGTTCAGTTGCACTACTGTTAGCTCTCCAAAGTGTCACTGTTTCCATTTTTCTTAAAACCAAGCAAAGTGAATAATAACCCAAATTGCAAACAAGGCCTCTTTACTTTGTAGAACTGTTGTCCTTTATCTCTTAAAATGTTGAGGCATTTTCCATCTTAATTCTGACCACTTCTTCATTGCAAATTTTGCCCTTGCTGGAGAAAATTTTCCTAAAACTTTACAGCATTGCAAGAAAGAGCTGTTGTTCCTATGCTTGTTAAATGTCCATTTATCCTGTACCTATTAGGCTGAAATGGATACAATTGGATTCAATTCATGCTAATACTTTATTGTTCTGTAATGTTTTATAATGTTTAAGGCTAAGTAGTATTTGTCAGAGATCAGCTGAAATGTAAATAATCTGTTTAAAGATTCCCTTACAATGTAGAACAGAAAAAGAGATTTGGTAAAACCTGGTCTGAATTCACAAAGACATTTGATTTAAATCTGATCCTGGCCATAATCACTCTTTACAACATTCTTAAAACAGTGCAGTGGGTAGAAGAGAGCATCAGGAATGTAAAAGTGAGTACCTTTCCTTACTTTTTAACAAAAAAATTTTTTTTCCTGCTTCTGGTTCTCTCAGGCAGCTAAATGTAACAGTCACAGTTTGTATTTCTGTTGAGATGATTTGTGCACTCCTGGCTTGCTGTAGCAGTGGTACCCATCATGAATATAGCCTGGTAGTGCAGTTTTTCTAGCTGAAAACTTCCCAGAACTATTGTGAGGAAAACTTACTGGAGAACAGAGCCATGTTATGGCCTTTGCCATAATGACAAGGTTTTCTTATGATTTATGAAAAGGTGTAACCACTTTACTGAGTCTGTGTTTTTGAAAGAAGACGATGGCTATTACTGTGGCAGTGTTCTGTGTCAGTATTATTAACAGAGTAGTACTGAATAAAGTGAAAATACAGAATCAGGGAGAGCAGTTCTATAAACAACTTGCATGCTATGCATTCCTTTCTAAATGTATTTTGTTACTGGAGTTAGATAAATTAGGCTATACATCTTGAATTGGACTGTGACAATGGTGATAAGGCTTGTTGGATCTGGACTAAGACAGCTATGCCAAAGTAAATTGTGGGGTACAATAAAGGTTTCAGGGCAAGGCACAGTACAAAAGTATGAGAATCCTGTGATTGCATGTTTGAAACAGGGATTGGATGAAATTCAGAGCATCCGTAGGGTTGAGAAAATAGGAGGCACCAGAGACTTGAAATAACTGTGATGTTCCTGAAGCAAAGGTTGAAGTAAGTTAAATCTCTTTATATTGCAACTGGTGTAGAAAACACCAATACAGCACAGGACTTTAGAAGAACCTTGATGTAAACTCTATGCTCTGAAAGATTCATAGCAGTCTACTGCTCAAAGTACCTTTCACAGTGTATTTTATTTCTTTAGAGTATCGGTACTTTTTGTGCATGAAGTCAAGTGTTGCTTCAATGTGAAGAAATGAACTAAAAGGCCTGGCAGCAACTTTGTAGGGCCTGGTTTATTGTCCTTGGGAGTTTAATCTTCAGAAGTCTTCTGAAGACTTTTGTCTTCAGTGTTGTAAAAGCTTTGTTGTAGAGTTGTCTAGCCTCTAGATATGGAACAGCCTGTTAATCATGTTGAAAACATTGAGGGCTATTCCACCAAGTTGTAACAAGGTACACAATTCATTAAGCTTCAGTGCTATTGTCTTCAAAAATGTGTACCACTGAGGTTTTATAGGGTTTCCTTACATTGTTCTTTAAATTAGCATTGTTAGGGGACTTGTCCAAACCTCTTTTGCTCTTTTGACTATATAAAAGCATATGCTGTGTCAGTATGGAAGCTTCAAAACCCTATCATGATGCTTCATTTTCCAGATTGTAGCATATTAAATTTTCTAAAGGGAGAGCTGTCGAGAGCACAGAGCAAGATTGAAGATTAGAAGATTAAAGAGGAAATAGGACATCCTCAGTAGTTGCCAAATCTTTGAAAGGCATGAAATGTGTCTTTACAGATTTGTTGACAGAAAGATATAGAGCCTATTCTTCAATTTGAGAAGGGTGGAGTTGCTCCTAGAATGTAATGAAAACAGATGTTCTTGCAGTTGGAGGGGGCTAACTTAACTGTATTTTACTGTGGCAAATACCACTGAGTTAGTATTTGATGTTAAACACATCCGTTGCCCCATCTGGGGCAATAAGACTTGGCTGCATATGCAGTAAAAATTTCATCTTTATAAAAATATATTATTCAAGTAAGTTTTTGTTTAAAATTGCTCTCTGTTGTCACTTTATAATTTGTAGCATGGATTAACATTACTTCTTCAAGAAACCACAAGGACTCAAATATCAGAGTTTATAACAAAAAGTTTTACTAAGTCTGTAAAAACGTTCCTGTTTTCAAGTCAAAAGGATTCTAATGTAGAAAACTAAAAAATGGTTCTTGCCGAAGTCATTTACAAGTGTCAACAACATTCTTGTGGCTTAGTGTTTTATCTGTCTGATTTTTGTGCTTCTGAAGTAGTAGTAGAAGAGATCTGAATTATTTATTTTTTTGTTTCCCCTCCTTCACCCTCAAGTGGCAAGACCAACTTGAGAAGGCTTATGTTTTAGTTGTATCTAATCTCCCTAGTGTGTTTTTTGGATGCTTGTAACTAGTGTTCAGGTCCAAGTTGTTATGTTACCTTGTTAATTGCTTACACATCTGTTCAGTAATAACATCTGTGGAATTTGTTTTGGCTTGGAAGGAAAACCTGTGGCAGCCAGATATCTCCTGAACCTACTGAACTGAAATTTAATATGTAAGAATTTTCACAGAGCTAAAGGGCTCTTGGTTAATAAAATATTGATTTCCTGTGAAACTTAAAACAGAAGTGTTCCAGCACTAGTGTTATTTAAAAGAAATAAATGTGAAAGATCTATAGATCTAGATTTGTTTTTTACTTTCAGCAATGAGTTTGTTTAAAAAGTTGCTTGATGACAATTATAAACATGTAGAATGAAAATCAATAAAACCCACCTCTTAACTATCATTCATAAGTATAAAATAATCCAGTCTCTTGGGATTTGTAGTTGAGATTAAAATAGAGGTTAACTAAAAAGAGTGTTGATTCAGGGAAGTGATATTTCTTCTGCCTTACCTATTGTGGTCACCATTAATTCAGCATTAATTAGCTTCTTAAAAAGCAGTGATGTAAGAAATTATGTTACACATTTATTTTGGTTTAGGTTTACATTGTTATATAAAGCACTGTCTTTACTTTGAGACTGAATCATACATGAAACCTGGAATACAGTGTTTTAAACACTAAAAATATTTCAGTGCTTTCTAATGTGATGTTCACTTGCTTTGAAATTAGAAAAGCAAGCATGAAGAATAGCATGTTTTGTGTTCACTTCAGTGCTTTCACTAACCTCAAATATTGGTTTATACTAATACTCACTATATAGGTTTCTGCCCTCGTTGTCCTTCAAGCACCTAACACTAGGTGGACAAGGCAGTATCCAAGTGAATGCTGCTTGTGTCTGCTGAACAGTTTTCAGCTTTTTTGGCAGATGACTACAGGGTGGCTTAAGTAAGTTTACTGTGGAAAACCTGTGTTTTGCTGCATTTCTGCTGCAAGAGAGGTTTGTTTTCATTCAGACAAAACAATGGTGTGATAGCTAAAATGTTACACAACTGCACTGTTCTTTACTGCAGAGTGTATGCATTTTGACAGTGCTTGTGTTTCAATTTAATATGCAAGTAGTTTGTTTCAGCAGGTAAAGTCAGAAAATGTGCAGATTGAGGTTTTGGGCTCTGATGCTGCCAACTGTAGGCATAGGTTGGTCACATGTTATTGGAGAGAAATTTTACTTCAATAAACAATTTTGATTTATATCCACAGGTAATTGAATTATTGTTTAAATTAGGATAAGCTTTGTTGTAGTTTGCTTGAAGAATAAAGTGATTGTGTATTTTCCCTTTATTCTCTGGTAGAGAAAGAAAAGTACTCTGTATTTGTTGTACAGTCCTGATTCATTTACTGAACATGAAAAGAATCTGACCTGGGATGAGTGTAGTTGTCCACTCGCTGGCATCAGAAGTGGCTTAGCTGTGAGTATTGGAGGTGGTATAAAAACAGCTCATCCTCTCCTGCAGTGTGGGAGGGGACAAAGGATGCTAGTTACAACTTCCATTTGAGGTATGGTGTCTCAATCTCTTCTCCTCTGAGCTGAAACCAAACTGAGATGTGGAGCCTGTTGGAAAAGGCAGTGTGGAGACATAATTAGTAATTGTGGCACAGTAAATTGTTTGCGAGTGAATGTAAAGTTACACAGCAGTAGTGTAGGCTGACAGTTCCTAGCTTTAGAACAGTGCCATTTGCAGCAAAGTATATTTTTCAATATAGTTTTGTTGTCTATGTTTGAATACAAACCAGTTGATTTTTTTTTTAATCTAGTAATGTTATTTTATAATCCTGGCAATAAATAAAGCACTTTTTTTTTTCTGAAATGTTAACTATATTTGAAATTGAACTTTGTATCAAAAAGAAGTAAAATTTTAATCTTTATCACAAGTATTGCTCAATAGTGGAAAAGGAATAAGAATAAATCAGTATTTATTTATCAGTATTTATAAAATATTTATCAAACACTTGTCTGAGTAAACATAATTTAGTGTTATAGCTATTGCTGGATGGGGAGACCACTGTTAGTGCCTCAAGATGGTAGGGCTAACAACAGCTTTCATGTACTTCAGCTGTTGAAGGAGAATGCCTCTTCAGCTGTTTCAGGATCATGATTTTTGTTGGACTTCTTGGTTTAGTTTGGGAAACTCCTGATTTGTTTTGATGGAGAGTGTTTTTCTCAGTCTTACCTGATTATGGAGAAGTGTGACAAAATTGATTGGACAAAAACATTGTCTGGTTTGTCTTCCTTCTGAGCAGTGCAGTCCTGAGTTAGTGACTCCTGTGTATTTGTTACTAATATATGTATACTGTGCAAGGCAGTCTTTTTTTAAAAAGTCACAAATGCTCGTTGGAGGAAACATCTGGAGATCATCTGCTCTGATTCCTTGTTTGGAGCAGAACTGAGACAAATACCAGAGCAGGTCAGATGTAACTTGAAGATCTCTAAAGATGGAAATCTGTTTATTGAACCACTGTGGAACCCTTCCCTCTCTAAAAATTTTTGTACTGAAATTGCTGTATTATTTTGTCCATGTGTAGAACTCTTGCTACATGCTTTACAAAATATGACTAGTAAAAGGTAGAATCTGGAGGCGTGGGAAGGAAGCAGGCTGTGTTGGATTGAATAGGTGAGCTAAAGAGATTCCTTATTAGAAATATTTATTTTCATTATCTTAGGTTTTTATAAGTTTTTCTAACTGGTTGCTATTAGTCAGCAATTAAATATATTTGTACATTGAGTATGCTCTGAAATGTACAGTGCACTGAGATCTGATTGCTGTCAAAAACATTATCTGCTAAGGAATTATTATAAGCCATTTGAAATAGTTACTTTACCTGTGATTCTGGGCAAAATATCCCTAGCAGACCTCAGTGGAGTGATTTGAGAAGTTGCCTCTCCGAGCTGATACTGGTTCAACCCCTTGGGGATTTTGTTATCCCCAGACAGGGTTAGTAGCCAGATGTGGTAGAGCCAATCACACATAAAGACAAGGTAGTGTGTTACAAAGTTCCAAGTCTGGGTGCTGGATGGTAATCCACAAAACCAGCACACCTCTGGGTTGCAAAGCTCTGTTTTTAAACACTGTTTTATAATATATTCCACCTACGTAGTACATATGGATTATTAGCTAACTGCTGATTGTGAAAGAATAGTTTCCTGTTACCATTGTTTGCAGATGTTTGAAGTTGAGAAATACTATTTTGGGAAAAACAGATACAAGTTTTTTTAAAAGGAAAATATTATCAGTGCTACTGATACAACTTCTTTTAACATCAATTTTGTATTTTATGAGGAAGTTACTAGGGTAGAAGATGAATTTGCAGTAAGCAGTTTGCTGTATGTATTAATTCTCTCTCATTGGTCTGTCTGTTACCCCATGTCTTTCCTACTTCATACTTTTTAGATGCTGATGCAAAGGAATAAATTTTGATTTGATTTGATTTTTTAATTGTTTATAATTTTTTCTAACAGTTTTCTATCTCTTTGTCACGAGGATATGTTGGGGAAAAGAGAGAGAGTATTTCTGTTAACTGTTATTTTTTGAAGTACACTGCATCATAAATTGTACTGCACCACATGCTGAAAATTTTCAAGTTAACATTTTTTGAAAAGTACGTTACAATATTCAAGTAAAGTGAAAATATTGTTTTAAACATAATCAAATCTTCCTTTTTGTACTGAAGCAAGGCAGTCTAGCTGCCCTTTTTAAAAATCTTTTCATATTCTTTCCAAATAACATTTTTTACAGGGCTATTACAAGGAACCACTATGCGACCAGACTTCTTTTTGAGTCAGTTTGTCAAGAAAGGTTATAAGTGTCTACTTTAGTTCAGTAAATGGACAGCAATGTTCTCAGTAATAGCAATTATGTTTTCAATGCAACTGTATCCATAAACTGCATAATAAAAATGGTGACTTATTTGCCTCTTGTCAGGCCGTTTGAATTGTTGTTCTGATGAACATGCCTCTCTGTTTTATCACTTGTTCTCTAGTGTGAAATCTGTAAGTGTTTATTTTTGGTAATTGAGGGCTCTTTAAATTTTTTAATGTGTTCAGTATGGAGAGTTTCAAATCTAGGCTGATTTAGTGATTTTTATATAGTTTGATTTTATGTGGAGTTTCAGATCTAGATTCTTCAAGCCCTGTGCCTTGTCCCTTAAATGTGTTTATTTCAGAGTCAGGTAAGATGTTCGGGAAACTCACAGTATAATAAACTGAAAATATAGATACCCAGGCACCTGTAGAATAGATGCCTAGAAATAGATGTATGTGTATGTACATATGCATTTGCCCACACAAGAAAACGTGTTAAGAAGAATTTAAATGCGATATTTGCCAATATTTTCATTAATATAAATATTGAATGTACCTGTGCTTGCGTTATTACGAAGTGCCTGTAATTATGTTAGTTGACAAAAAAATTATGATTATTTTTTTCAAGTTCTTTTTTTGTTTAAGGCTTTTAATTCTTTTTTAAGGCTCCCACATGTGAACACAGATAATGTTAGAGTGATGGTCTGGCCTGAGTGAACAAGTTAAAAGTGGTCTTATTTCAATTTACCATATGAATGTAGAAATAACCATATAAGAAACTCTCCTGTGTTGCATATATTGTTTAGTGACATAACTACTTGATTTGAGAAATGTATGTCAGAGCTCTGACATTCTAGGCAGTAAAGCACCTACCTTACCTTCAAAGGGATGTTTTGATACATCCATGTTCTTATATAGCATAGGTGAGTGTAAACTGCATTATAGGAAGGCATTTGCTTTCTTCTAAAACTGTTAAGTTCTGCTGTTGCTGGAAAAAACAGATCAATAATCTGATTTCATTGGTAACTTCAGTATGTTCAGTCAGGCATTACTAGATATTGCTTGTGCTTTGAGGGTGTCTTTTTACTGTATGGTACAGAGATCCCAGATCCTAATGTGTGATTCACTTTACAGTGTCAGAGAACAAATCTTACAGGTAAGATGCTATATTTCTTAAGTTTGTGCCATAAGTTCTGGATTTCACTCCTTTCAGAAGAGTAGTGTGAATGTTTCCTTTATGACTGAAATTTTTAGATGCCATGTTATTAGAATTGTAATGGGTTTATTCCTTTTCTTCTTGTTTATTCTTTTTTCTTTTTTTTCCTTCCTCCAACCCCAAAAGACTGCACTACACAGATACATGTTTAATGTTTGCTTTTACTGAGCCTAGTTCTAATTCATCATGTTTACATGACTTACTGTAAGCTGTCAGTTACAGTTTAACTTTCGTCTGTATATAGCTTGATTTTATTAATTAAGTACAACAAACAGCATTATGAAGCTTTTCTCTTTTAATCTTACAAGGAAAAAAATCACTATCTAAAAAAGCAATCACAAAGAAGAGGAAGGGTGTCAGAAAGTCTACCATACCAGAATTTCAGGTAATTATTTTAATTTTTGTTTTAAGCACTTGAAATCTGACTGTCTGTGAAGTAAGTCCTTTAGTTTCTGATAGAGATATTGGAATTCCTTCTTCTAGTTTGAGAGGTTTAACCTGATAGTATTTGTAAAAGTGCATTTCACCTTTTCTTGGTAAAGAATGTTTTAGCATTTTTATTATGTGCAGCGTACACACTGTTCCACACTGTTGTTTAGGATCCCAGATATATCTGTTACTGTATAAAACCTATAAAAGCTAGAAGTTTTTAATGAAATTTTTAGGGTAGATAAAATTTTCTGGGATAAAATTACTTGTTTTGTATGAGGTATGACAATGTGATTCTTTAACTGAAATCCATTTTGGTTTACTGAAGGACTCGCAAAAAATTTATAGGCAACTATGCTCACCTTGCTTGTCTGTATGTGACTTTAGGGCCAGAGAGCACTAAGAGTATTAATTATGATAATGTGGTTTTATGGTGCTGTAGTAGAAGTGTTACAGTGCTTCAGTTCTAAGTTACTATTTATGTATGCATGCCTGCTTTGCATTGAAATTCTCCTTTGGCTATCTTTTTTTTTTTCTTCAGAAAGCAATCTGTGCTATTTTGACGAGTAGACCCACATTAAATCATGACTGTTTTCTAAAACCCTCACACCAAATCAGTTTATTCCACCATGATGATGATGATGTGTTTCAGATGGAGCTAGTAGAATTTCTGGTGATAAAATTGGTTAGTAACACTCAATATTGAGAAACGACTGACATTTAAGTGTAATCTGTCTTTTATCTATATTGTAATGGTAGTGACTGAAACGTTTCCAAAAAATAGGTACAGTGTCTAAAAATTTTATTTTTCTGAGCACGTTACCTGCATACCATGGATATATATACAATTAGGTTAGAAATCCTTTTTTTACAATATTAAACTACTGCATTTAAGTAGTCTGTCTAAAACTTAGCCCAATCTTTTAGCTAATCAAGGTAAAATGTACATACATTTACATATCTATCTAAGTGTATATTTATTTGTGTAAAAACTTAAAATATAACATAATACTTCTGGCTTTTTTGATCAAAGCTAGGAGTTCTATCTGGTTTAGGTGAGGCTCAGATTGATTAGTATTGAGCAGTTTAATCTTATAAGGGAACTCTTTAACAACTTAACCTGCCTTTTTCAAGAGGACAGACAGGATTGGTGTGACTGTTAGAAGTATTTGCAAATACTAAAACGTTTATATTTGGAATAATATTAAGACTTTTGGAATCTAGTAATGTATGCTTCATTATACTTTTCCCACATACACAGATAGCCAAACTTTATGAAATTATGCAACTGTTTGAAGGTACAAGTATATTTTTTAAATATTTGATAAAACACCTTTAGTATACAGGCACTGTGAGATATGCAGGAAGGGTATAACCCCAAGTATATTGCTATTCTTGTCTAAACATCAGTTCTTTTGGAATGAAAATTAATAAATAAAAATGTATAATATTTTTCATGTTCCTGCAGCCTACAAATGTAGGAAAAAAAACCCAAACCAACTGTAAGACATTTTATTTTATAAGATTAGGTTCTGTAATTAAGTATAGATCCCATACCTGAAAATCATAACTTGTCACTAAAACTGAGTAAATTAGTGTTAGTAAGTCTTTTAATATGTGCAATGACAAAAATTATACATTAAAATCCATTATTAACAGAAACATTCAGGAATTAATCATACTACTTAATTTTAACATTTATAATGCCTAACATTTTATAAAGGAAATGTTTTTTCTCCTCAGATTATTTTTCTCATGATAGGTCATTAGAAGGCATGTTCTTCAAGAACCGTATATGGAACTACTAGTAAGCTATCAGAATGTAATGTAATCTAATCTAATCTAGTCTAATCTAATCTAAAATGATTAGGTTGTAACATCAATACCTCTTCTTTTACCTTCATGTTAGCTTACCCATTAAAACATAGAACAATTTAGAAAGGCAGTGTTGTTCACAGGAAATTGTTTAATTCCGCCCAGTCCTTTTTTAAGTCCTTTTAAAATGCTTAGTCTAAAATACATAAATTCTGTGTCTAACACTTTCTAATAATATACTTAATTTTCTGACTACAACAACAAGGAGCAAAGAACACAGGAACATAAATAAAAATCTCATTCGGAGAAATATGATCTAGATTCTATAACAAAATGATCATACAAAATACACTACACTTTGTTATTACTATCCTTTTCATCTTTCCTTCAAAATGCTGGCTTCGTTCTGTAAGGTGGGAAATGTTAGCCATGTGAGAGAAGTTTTGTAAATACTTTCTTCCCGATCAGTGTGCTTCTTTATTTCCCCACCTGAAATCACACTGTGAATGACAAAATATAAATTTTTTCTTGAACCTTTTTTTATAGTGATTTTCAGTACAGTACTGAACTATATCAAATACTGAACTAATTTTGACCATAAATCCTCCAGGGTCAGTTGCTGTTACCTTCCTTGTTTTACCAGAGTGTAACTGACACACAAATATGAGCCTCACATGTACACCTCCTCTGATGAAAGTTGGGACTTAGAGATTTGATTACTCTTACCTGTCTTCCCCAGCCCCAAGACAACTCATCTTAGTATATTGACATTTTTTTTCCCATTGTTGTAGTTTGGATTGGTCTCATAGAAGAAAATAAAAAGCAGTGATAATACTTAGTAACTGAATTTTCAGGTATCTAGTCAAAAGAGTGGATTATAATTGTGTAGGGAAAATCCTTATCCATGCCTTTATTGACTTTTTTCAAGGACTTTATGTGACATACTTGCACTTTTTTGCATAATAATACAGTATCATAGATTTCTTCACAGGCCAGACAGGCAAAGAAAAACCAGTATTTGGCTTCAGTTTACATCTTACGTATTTAACACTCTTTAAGTGCAGGACAGACATGCATGTTGAACCTGGTAAAGTTACACATAGTAATTCTTTTTCCTGGCTTAAGAGAGATACCTTTTGCAAGTTAATTTTGCATACATTGTGTGTGGCAAGACACTGCCAGTTTCCTTATTAATTTGCTATTCTAAACTTGATAAATGTGAAAACTGTAAACTTTAGTTTGAGTCACTTCAGTTCCTCAGTGCTTCAAATGTGCTATGAAAACGATGGCGTGTATGCATTAGACGTTTCTGAAATTTATGTATTTTGCAAAAAGTGTCAGTTCTGTGTTTTAATAGTGAAACAAAGGCACTTTTTAATGTCTTTGCTACAAATCTAAAATTGCATATGAATTTTATGTAAAACTATATTGTTATGAATTACTGATTTGGGAAAAATGATTAACACTTATATGATAAAAACAGTTTTTCTGGGGTGGGTTTTGCACAGTTTCTTTTATTATAATTTTTTTTCTTAAATTATTTTAACATGTTTTCACTAATAATGAAAAAATTTTCACCTAAGGGTGTTCAGAAAAAGCAAGTCTTAACCTGAAAGAACCTAACAGGTTAATAATTTCCAGTTTGTTAAGTCTTAAACTGCCCTAAATTATGATAAGACAAAATATACAGATTACTTTTGCTTGATGGTTTTTTCAAGAAGATAGCATCCATTTTCTGAAAGGAGAAATGTAAAAAAGCTGATTTCTAAAGACAGGAATAAGAAAAATATAATCACTTCTCAAAACATACACAAATAGGTAGATCTGATAGACAACTAGGTTGCCTTAGAATCATAGAATCGGCAAGATTGTAAGAGTCCTTTAGTAACCACTAAACTGTATCACCAGATGCGTCTTGAACACCTCCAGGAGCAGAAGACTCTGTGTCAGCATATAAAGTTATGTCCAGGAAAAAGTTATAACAAGTGTGAAATGTTATAAGCACAGCATACTCCAAAGCTAGTATACTTTAATTCACCAGGGTGTTGTTTGGAACTCAAAGATATTCCAAATCATTACTACCCTTGAGATAAATTTGGTAGTTGTCATTCACAGAAGTTTTAAGAAAATACTTACATTTTGAAATGGAAGCTTACAGGCAGAGATATGATTTATATCTGAAGAATAGATTATTTTCTTATTAGCTTTTCTTTCTTTCAACAAGTCCTGCTTTTTTTTTTTTTTTACTTTTAAAAATGCTATAAGAAAATAAAAAACAAATGGTAGCGTTAAGTGCTTTTGCATTTTATTTAACTTCATTGTACGTTTTCCAAGTCCCACATCACCGAGTGTTTGTGTTCATTTGTTTTTTAGCTTATTTGCACTAATCTTGATGAACTCAGGGAATTAATCACAAAGATTGAGAATGAACTCAAAGATCTGGAGGACATTAAAAAGAAATCGGTATGTGACATTAACAGCTTTCTCTTGTATGGATATAAAACAGTGCCAGTTATTTACTGAGGCCTCTCAACTGAAGATTTTTATGCTGTTCAATAACTGCATAAAACCTCATATGGTTGATACCTAGAGACTGTAATTTTAATCTTTCTTGTATGTAGTGCTCTGTTCTCAGTATTTTTAGAAGTGAATTCAGTAACCGTGTTAACACTTTTCACTGCCAAAATAAATTTGGAGAGTAGCAATGCCTTAGAAGGAGTAGTTCATTTCTATTAAACATGTTAACATTCTGCCCTGAGGACAATTCTTACTAACAAGCAATTACAGGATAGAATTCTTAAATCTGCCTATGTAGTGCTGATCAAAACTTCCAGTGAGCTGACTCTTACATTGTTATTGGGATTCCTAACTCCTTTTGTTTGCAAGTAAGTTATCAAAATTGGCTTTGTTTATTTTTTTATTAAAGTATGTTGTACCAGAAAGCATGCTATCTGACTTTTGGTGTCAGACTGAGATACAAATTTTACCAATGTACACTGGATCACTCAGTCTATGCAGCTGAAAACCTTGAATGAGTAACGGTTAGACAAGAGAATCCAATATGTTTTGGCTTTTGTAGGAGACAGTGATTTTAATTAAGATGGTAGATAAGTTTAAATACATGAATAGTACTCATATGAATGTCCCTTTTTAGTGAATTATTTTTCTTGCTCTTTTGTATTGTAGTTCTGTTTATTGAACTAGGCATTTCCGTGGCATTTCTATAAAAGGTGGTAAATAAAAATGTTACTTTTTCTAAACCTTAGAAACTAGATTGCTTTTAATTCAAGTGAATGTCTGCGGTCTCATGCAGAAACAATTTATTCCTAAATTTTTTAAATAGAGGAGACAAATGTAGGAGAGAGGCAATATGAATTAGGACTCTGAAAGACAAATTTCTCTGCAGGCACTTAGCATAATAATTGTTAAAATATCCAAGCGAATAAAAACAGCCTTATCTTGAAATTATTTTGCAGTTGCTAAATTGCAAATTGATTTTTATGATAAGAATGTCAAGAGGTTATCAGAAAGGTTATGGCAACAATAGAAGAAAAAGCCAAAAAATGAGAGTATACTACAGCATATCAATAATCTTAGTGTAGGTGAGACTTTTGGTCTGCTAGTAAAACTGTATGAACAAGACTTCTTCAAGGGTAGACAAATGCTAAATATGTCATAATTGCTCTTTGAACTGAAATCTGATAATGTCATTATGTAAGTAAGTTGCATGACTTCAGCAGGAATACTATGTTTAGTTCTAATTGCACCATCTTAAAAAAACCAAACACTGAAGTATAGGGGAGTTAAGATTCAGCATTCGGAAGTTGTGAGGTAAGGACAATCTTTCTTGTGCTTGTATAGACCTATCAGATTGTGATTGTGGGTCTCTAAACACTTGTGTTGTTAGAAATTTTACATAAAGGAAAAGGGTTAGGATTAATTGCTGAAGAAGTGGTTATGAGGAAACAGTAAAATGAAATACTGATTTTTAAAAACATATTTATTAGGGAAGTTTCATGTTTTCCTTTCAAAGATACAAATAGAAAGATGTTAAATTAGATGAATAATCATAAATTTGACATGTTAAAATTAGGTTTCAGTCTGTAAGGAAAGTCATTAGGATGTCACTTCTGACGTCTAACACCATGTGTAATTTTGTTAGATATGTAAAAAATTGGAGAAAAACCAGATTTTTATTCTTCAGCTCTGACCAAATGACAGCGGCAGTTTCAGAAGCATCTAGAATCAAATTTGTTCATTTTTTCTGACTATTAAGTAAGACATTATTTTAATTTACTAATGGAAGTAGGATCTAATGTGAAAGCTAATTTTAATATGATGGTATTTATATATACTGTTCATGGACTTTTTTCTTGTTTTGACCCAAAATGGTGATGTTCTTACTACTTCATGGTAACTTTATTGATTTTTGTTTGCAACAGTGACCTGAGTAAAGCCATAGGAATCTTCTTCACGGCTAACCTCCTTGGTAATTCCAGTTTTAGTAGTTGCTAGCACATGCTACTGAGAAAAATCCTCAAGGCAATCTTTCATGTTATGTTAATTACTAAAGCATATTAGAAATACAGCTTGTCTAACTGATAGTAACACTTTTAAATATAACCTTTTCTTAGTCCTAACCTCGCTTTTGTTTCCTAGAAGACCATTCTAGATATGTAAAAGGAATTCCTTCTCCAGAACTTGGAATTAGTGGAGACCATAATGAGAGCACTGAGCTGTAACACTTTTTTAACATGAATATGCTTACTATTTTCCCTCATTTTTTATAGGTAGTTGGACTGGTTGTATCTGACACGTTTCAGAACATCAGCTTGAGACAACGAATGACATGACAGATTTTTGTTTGGCAAGTTAAAATCAAATTAGAGCAGGGTTATGTAATGGAAAGCCATGGGTAATTTTAAGTGTGGACATTTCAACAAACTTCTTCCACAACAATGAAGTAATAAATCTACTTGGTTGATTAAAACAGTTTGTTTCTGTATTCTTGTACACTGTATTGTCTTTTGAATTAGTTATGAGTATTATTTTTCCTTTTAAAAAGTCTTGCGCTTTTGATTGATTACTGGTGAGTTTGTTGTACCAATTTGCTTTGTGCTAGTTCACTGTAACTGTTTAGAGAGGAGAATAAAATTTGACCTCAGTTCTTTAATTTTGAACAGAGTTCAACTCTGCTCTTGAACTCCAGGCACAGTTCTGAAGTGACACTGCAGTTTCACATATGCTTTCAACTGACATAAGCCAAAACTGCTGCCAAATAAGTAGTTCCTACTCTCTGTGTCTCTGGAAGCTTCTCTTTTCTGTGCCACCCCATGAGAAAAGCTAGCAAAATTCTGTGTTCAGCTGCGTGGTGAGAGAGTTAGTCTGTCATAAACCTAACTACCCTTTTTCTGCTGCTGAGGTTTTTTAAGCCAGATCAGTCTTCTAGTGCGATTTATCATGCAGTTGCACAAATACCTGTGCTTGTATTCTGCCAGAGTCTGAGGAGTCATTATAAGAACAGGATTGAGCATCTGTGGGGAAAAGAAAGTGGGACTGATTTGGACAGGAAAAGTGCCTTTTTGTGACAAGTAAAGTTGTGTGTGATATTACTATCAGAAGTGCTCTAAAAAGTCTATACCTTCAGCTGCTAAACAGTTCTATGTATTATATGTAATGTATCTACTATATATTACATATCCAGAGGGAGATGAGAAGTCAAATTAGTGAGATTTACTGTTTGTTTGAGTGCCTGGCAGGAAATCAGAAAGTGAAAGATGCAGAAAGGGGGACTTAAAGGACTTGTGTTTAATGTTCTGTGCACTGTCTAGTGACAGGATAGAGAATGCTTCCCTAAGGAATGTCTAAGCTAGAATCCTTTAATTTTAAAACAGTATGACTAAAAACGGCAGTAAAAATTGAATTAATAGAAAAAAAATGTGTTATATTACGTGGATTAAATTACAAGCAGTGAGTAAACAATTATAAACCTGAAGTAGAACATACTGGCTAAAAATTCTTTTGAGATTTTATTGCATTTTTACCTCTTATTTGCTGAAAATTTAGACTGTATATATAATATGCATGGCTGTTCAGTTGAATGTGAGGTCTTAAGAATTTACTATAACTATCAAATTGACAAGACATACAAAGTAGCCTAATTCCACACTTGGAGTGGTATTGCTGAAAAAGGAGTGTTATTGCTGAAAAAATAATTTTGTCAAACGTGATAGTGAAGCATTTTGCTGGTATATTTAGGATAACATAGAGACTGCTATCTAATATATGAAATTTCTTTTATGAGAAGAGATGGTAAAGTAGCACCTCCTGTCCTATCAGTATGCAAGATAACAAGTATGAGCTTCTGACATTTTGGATCCCATTTTTCCATAGGTCTTCTGTGTCTGGTCAAATCAGTGGGAGTTGCAGCATGAGTGGAAATCTTCTTACTGCCTTGCAGATAATCAGCTTCTCTTGCAATCTGAATCATTTTGCTTTGTGTGTGTGAAACTGTTAATTAAGCTATTTTGTAGATCATTTGTATATACTTTACTATTGCATATCATAGCAAAAATGTTTATTTTTTTTTCAAACCCTTCTTGACATTGTGTAGTATGAAAGTGCCAGGACTGCAGATACTTGTATAAAATAGTAAACCTTGGGCTTTTTTTGCAGATGCCATTTTTTTGCAGATGCCATTTTGCAAGCTGACTTTGTAGTAAGCGTGTTTTTATGTAAAATCTGAACATGAACATTGAAAGATTTCTTATTTACTGTAATGGAAGACTTTATTTTGGTAGGACCATTGGATTGGAATCATTCCCTACAAGTATGACCAGTAAATGAATTGCTGTCCAGGGAGTTAGAAGGGAGGCTGGAGCCCAGGATTCCCATAGCTAAGTTGAGAAGGTTAAATAGATAAAGGGCATTACTTTCCTGAGAAGGAGACCACTCTCTCCCTATAGAGAGAAAAAAGTCAGACAAAGGTTAAGGAAAGGAGAATTACTTAGTCAAAGGACACCAGCCACGTTAACAACTAATTAGGGTTTGGAAAAAATGCATTGAAGATTTTATTGTTTATGGAGGTCTGTGACCCCTTGATGTTCTTGACTTTGTAACAAAAAAAGTAGAAACCTCTCTTATGAAGGTTTTCAGTTCTGCTATTTTTCCTGGAGGTTAGACAGTTGATTTAGACAGTCCCAGGGCAGGTCTTTTGTCTATCTTTGGGAGTGGATGTATGTTTTAGGCAGGTGAGTCAGAAGGGCTGAAAGCAAGCTGAGGTTTTCTGCAGCTTCAAGTCCATATCTGCTGCAAAAATACATATTTCAGAGGGCATCTGAAAATTCAGAGAGAAAAACCCACTAGTTCAGGTCGGAAATATTTAGAACCTCAGACATAAATTAATTTATGAAGATAGTCAAAGGAATACATTGATCCAGGATGGAACATAATATTTTCCATAT